GCAGACGCTCTAGCTGATTGCAATCAAAAGAGCTCGTCTGACACCGGTGTGATCGCACGTGTGAATGCTGAAACTCTTTCTGGGTGCTCTTGTGATCTCTAGCTTCTTGGCTGCTGATTGCGTCAGTAGAAAAGCATGCAAGAAAAATAGTTTACTACATATACAAAGCTATTCTATTAAAATTATGCAGAAAAGGTGCATCATACTGGGTAGCTAGGTCTGTAATAATGAGACGTCCGCAAATAAGCACATGTACACAGAAGGTCTGGAAGCTGGACCAGTTGGTGACAGCAATGTAACATATTTTAACACAGCGCACCACTATGTGGGCACAAGAGCGATTTGTTTCTTCTCTAGTGTCCATGTAGTCCTGCCCTGTGTTACAATACGTTAAAGCAAATGCTGTGTTCGGTCTTGCTAAATCAAGTATCACATGGAAAACTGAAGGACTTTTCATTCTTTAGGAAGTACAATGTCGTTTTGGGTCTTAATACTTGTTTCCCTGCGTGTAATTTTTTAATGAAAAGGATGTGATGTTTACTTAACTATCAGATTGGCACATTTGTGCCCGCTTACTAGTAAGTGCACGATACAAGCTTTTGATCTTCGTTGGTGCGTGTGCGCACTATTAAATGGCATCAAGTTACATTTCTCGGCTTCTCTATATTAAAAATAACTTCATTTCTTGGGATAGGCACAATGATAAAGTAATATGCTTCTTGTATTGAACAAAATTTCTCAACATTTTATTGAGCCTTGCAAAAGACAAGTCCACTAATCAAAACGTCGTCTCAAAAACCCACCCCCGTTAACAAAATTTTCATGGCTCCCCAATGTGTAAATTTAGTGATAAATACTAATGAAATCTATCTAGCAAAACCATCTTACGAAGTTTCTAATCTAAGGAAGAATTTCCATTTACCAGCGAAAATCTGTAGAGTGTAACGTTGTTTTCAGACCGATTTAAAGATTTAAAAATAATAGGTAAAAAAGCGGTGACTTTTTAAAATATATTTTGCTGCAACAGATTTGAGTATGCGCTCTGGCACTACCACATTCAAGCATTTACGTGCCTTAGCTTTACGTTTATGGGGCTGCATGACGTAAGCCTGCGCAGAAGAACAATGAATGCAGCCTTTGATAGTGCTCTTACGTTCCAGATGGTGGCAGAGGTGACGGTGATTGTTTTTGTTATCTCGTGGTTTATGCGACAGAAGGCATTGGTCACTCCTAGCTTTTTTTTAGCTTGGAATGCTCGCACAATCACTGCATTCATTCTCCTTGTCTTTGCATATCGGTAACTTGTCTTAGCCTTATGTTTCCCTCGTCTGTATCACCAAGACATGGTGTCCTTCTTCTACGTCAAATTTGCCCCTACGGATTTTTAAGGACACAAAGGTCACGCGAACGTACTCTTTGCTACTCTAATGGATCCATGTTCTTGTAGAAGCCAGAAAGATATCGCTGTTTTTAATGATAAAATAATGAGAAAAGGGGTCCAGAGGAGCTCAAAGTTTTGACAGCTTATTTGTCATATCCTGCATTGAAAATTATAGGCACACATGTGTGGAGTAAGCTAGGCTCACATTGAGAGCATACGAACTTTTCCCCATATGTGAACTTGTACTCTACCTACCAGAAAGACAAAGTATCCCTGATACCTAACGAACCTCGTCATTTTATACAGAATGCACCCATGCATTCTCGAGTAGTTGTGTCCCTGCTTGTGCCAATAATCCAAACCTTATACAGGTACGGCTCACAGTTATCAGAATCGAAATGCATCAACAAATGTGCCCCATCTTTATTTTTAACGAAAGCTCATGTTTCTGTGCATGCTCATTCACGCATATTCTTGCCCAGCCAATATTTATCTTTTGCCATAGGATAGTGGAAATTGATAAACAACCACGCTGACACATTTTGTGTATGATTGTCGTGCCTATTACCGTACCCATCTTTGTCCCTTCCATCAGAGAGTGTACATGATTTTCGTGGCGTAGAAAAAAGAATCGGCATGCTATCTCTGTTTGCAACCGTTTTTAGGTCGTGTGCAGCTCGCAGCATACACGGTAACACCTCAGGTCTTGCTGTTCTGCGCTCTTGCTCTACCCCAGTACCGTGGTATTCTCTCTTGATAGTCTGGTGGAGCAGCTACAGCGTTAAGGAGCATGCGAAGGAAACCAACCACAGACAACCTGTCCAATTGGTTTTGAAAAGTCTTCTGCATAACATGTGAGCATGACCCTGCGCATGCATACTCTGGGCATTGTTCAGCTATGGCCCTTTTGGAATGCACAGTTTTGGAATGCATCAACTCGTACGGAAGCAATTTTTCAACACACCTTTTTTAAATTGGGTCTCTCATGACAACCGAGTCTTGCCGCTTCATTAAAAAACTGACTAATCATGTTCTGCCAGATACCTCAATCACTCACTATTGTCCTGAATGAAATACCCGGTTTATGCGTCTTGGCCATAAAAAAAACACAGAAAGGGTGTTCGTTTTGCTAGCTGCAGTATGCAATAGATTCTGATAGTCGTGCAAGTTCCAAGTCCTTACTCAGAGCTACTGCCTCGCTTTTCAAAACTTTTCTTTTGGTGACTTTTAACTTGACGAAGTTCATGTAGACTGCATGTCTTGCCTTAAAGATACACAAATCTACATCCATTGCTACGGAGGCACTACTTTTGTCCTCTTGAAATGGGCACAAATCGATGCACCAGAAGAATGACAACACCCCCCAACATATTCTCTTGACGAAGAGGGTTTTTTCTCTGTTCTTGCTAGAGCTTAGACATTGTGTTGTAAGTAAAACGAACACGCCAGGGGCGTGGCTGAGCCAAGACAAAAAGTTTATTGCGATAGCGCGGGTTAATGTAGCGTTGTGCGAGAGGGGTTAAGGGGAAGGGAAGGAGAAGAAGCAGTGGTGATAACGGCGGCTTCGGCTGGCGTGGCGTCACGGATACATCATTCCGCTCCCCCTACGGTGAGTAACGGTCTGGGGGTTTGCGTTGCCGGCCCGAGCGACGCAACACCGGAATTGAGGGGCTCCCGGCGATCTCGCTCCTTGTTGGCGCTCGCCTCGGTGTTCCTCCTGCTAGGGCCCCGCCGGCAGTTTCGAGGCACCGAGAGTCACCGACTTCTCCCTGGTCATGCTCCAACTCCCGTGGCTTCACCTGGTCGCTGTGGCGCCTAATGGTTTCCCCCTCTGGACCATCGGCATTCACCAGGCGGGCTCCGTCTGTCGATGTAATGCTGGCTGGAGTCCACGGCTCGCCTCGCCCGAAGTTCCTCACCCAGACTGGCTCCCCGGGCTGCCACCCATCGAGGGGGGGACGGTCAACTGGTGAGTGCGGAATGGACACTGCGTTGTCCAGCCTGGAGCGAAGATCGTAGCCCATTAGGAGTTGCGCTGGTGTCCGGCCCCCGGCCTGCGGCGTCCTGCGGTACCTGTGCGAAATCCTAGCCAGGCGGGTTTTCAGTGACCCTTGTACATTCTTATTCAATGAATACTTCACCGTACGAACCGCCCGCTCCGCGAGCCCATTGGACTGGGGGTGATACGGTGCTGTTCGGAGGTGTACTATGTTATTCAGCTTCGTGAAGGTGTTAAATTCCCAACTCGTAAACTGTGGGCCATTATCGGATACCAGCGTCCGGGGCAACCCGAATGTACTGAACAAGGTGCGCAGAGCCTCTATGGTGGCGTGTGTGGTGGAACTCTTCATGGGTATCGCTTCTATCCACTTACTATGTGAATCCACCACAATCAGTAGCATGTGGCCATCGATCGGCCCCGCAAAATCGATATGCAGCCTCGACCAACGCTCATCCGTTTCTGGCCACGCAACAGGGGGTTTCTTTGGGGGCATAGGGGCAGCTTGGATGCAACTGGTGCAGGACTTAACCATGCGCTCAATGTCATTATCGATCCGGGGGTACCACATCAAGGAGCGCCCTAGCCGCTTCATTGAGCAAATCCCTTGATGAGTATCATGCAGCAGACGTAACATCACTGCTCGGGCACTCTTAGGGACGATCACTCGATGGCCTCAGTATAGAAGCCCATAACTCCCCGTTATCTCAGCTTTCCGGTTGAAGTATGGCATCAAGTGCTGGTCCTTAGGCCCCAAATTTCTTGGCCATCCCTCCTGCACCCATTTTTGCACCTTTGCTAAATCGTCATCAAGCTCCGTGAGAGTGCCCAGTTGCTTCGCAGACATGACACCATCATTGAGGGTCTCCGTGAGCAGGACATACTCACCGTCCACAGTTTCTTCCTGCGTCTCTGGCTGGGAAGTTGCTGACGTGGGGAGTCGGCTGAGGGCATCTGCTGGAATGTTGTCTTTCCCGGGCTGGTGTTTGATGACGTAATCGTAGGCGCTCAGCAGCAGGGCCCACCGCTGGATTCGCGCAGCGGCCATCACGGGCACTGGCCTGTCTGGGTGAAAAAGTGCAACAAGCGGCTTATGGTCCGTCATCAATGTGAAAGTATTGCCGAGCAAATATTGTCGGAATTTCGACGCACCAAACACAAGTGCCAAGGCTTCACGCTCCAGCTGCGAGTAATTTTTCTCAGCTCCAGTCAATAACCGAGAGCGGAACCCTATGGGCCGAAGTACCCCGCCCCGACATCGTGTGAAAGCACTGCGCCTATTCCGTCCGGGGAGGCATCGCATTCCAGGACTAGCGGCTTGTGTGGGTCAAAATGCGCCAGAAAGTCTGCGGATTTCAGAAGGTCTTTCACACTGCTGAATGACTGCTGTTGAGCGGTATCCCACTTCCACTTAGCTTCCTTCCGGAGTAGTTGATATAGGGGTGCCATGGCGGTCGATGCATTGGGAAGAAACTTGTGGTAGTACGTTACCATGCCGAGGTAGGACCTTAATTCTGCGGAATTCCGTGGTGCCTGAACCTTAAGGATGGCGTCTATGTTTTCCGTCTTTGGTTGAAGACCTCGAGCGCTGATTCGATGCCCCAAAAAATCCACCTCTAGTTAGCGGAACTTGCACTTGTCTGCGTTCAGGCGCACGCCGTATTCCCGGAAACGCTTGAATACTTCGTGCAGGGTGGTGCAGTCATTGCGTTTCTCTGCCACGATGACGTCGTCTAGGTAGACCTGAACTCCCGGAAGTCCCTGCAAAATGGTCTCCATACGCCGTTGGAACACGGCCGGCGCGGACGCCACTCCAAAAGGCAGGCGAGTAAAGCTGAACAGTCCCTTATGCGTGTTTATGGTCGTGAGTTGCATGGCTTCCTCATCCAACGGAAGCTGGTTGTATGCCTCCCGCAAGTCTATCGTGGTAAAAACTTCACCGCCATTTAATGTAGCCAGGATATCCTCCACCCGTGGCAACGGATATTGCTCAGTGCGACAGGCTTTGTTGACCGTTAGCTTAAAATCGCCGCAAAGGCGGATGCAGCCATTCCGTTTCACTACCGGTACCACTGGCGCCGCCCACTCCGCATGAGGCACCGGTACAATAATACCCGCGCCCCGAAAGGCGGTCCAGTTCCGCGTCGACCTTTGGCCGGAAAGCATACGGAACTTCGCGTGCTTTCCAAAACTTCGGCACCACGTTTTCTCGCGTCTCGAAGTGTACCGGTGGCCCTTTTATGAGCCCTAAACCTGGCGCGAACACATCAGCGAATTGTGCTAGCAACCGGTCCACGTTAACGTCGTCAGCACCGAGTAACGGCAGTTGCTCACCTGACGTGTTCACGTTCATTACCGGTGCCTCGAGCATGTGGAACGCTTGAATCAGGTCACGTCCGCAGAGGTTTGGGCCGGAGCAACCAAGGACTTGCAAAGATCCAGCCGTCGACTTGTTTCCGCACGAAACCTTGAGCTGAAGTTGTCCCCGCACTGGAAGCCGTCCCAGGAAGCAGGTGAGTTTCAATGGCGAACCACGCAGCTTCGGCCACACTGTTTTGTTCCGCTCATATGTGGGCCACGTGATGACCGAAACCGGCGAGCCTGTGTCGACCTGCATGTTCACTGGAACCCCACCACAATCCAAGGTGCGCACGATGGGTTGCGTAATGCCGACGTGGCCGATGTGACTGTCCGCTGCCTCCAGCGCGAACATACCGTCCGTGCCAGTGTCTTCCTCCCGCGACAAGGCGTGTACTTGGCGTTCTGGTGGTACCACCCCGAACCCACTCTCACGGCGGCAACAGGCTCGAGCGATATGACCTCGTTGTTTACACTTGAAGCATGACGCCGAGCGGAAGCGGCAATCCTCGGGTCCGTGCCCTTTTGCTCCGCAGCGGTAGCACCCAACAATCTGTGGCCGGCTTCGTGGGCGATAGGACTGGCCTCCCAGCGCATGCACACTTGCCTCAGCGGTGGGGCTTACTATCTCTTGCGCGTTGGCCTCGGCCATTTCGGTAGATATCGCAATTTCTTCCGCTTCGCTCCTCGTCAGCTGTGGTTTCGCGAGTAGCTGCCGACGCACTCCGACGTTGTGCAGACCACACACGATGCGATCTCGTAGCATTCTGTCCAACGAAGCACCAAAATTGCAGGTGTCCGCTATCTGTCGAATCGCCACGACAAAATCCTTGACCGGTTCGCCGGGCAGCTGATTGCGGGTGAAGAACTTATAAGACTGTGCTATCTCGTTCGGTTGCGGCGAGAAGTGCTGCTTAAGCAAGGCTATCACTTGTGGGTACGAAAGTTCATTCGCCTTATCCGGAGCACAACGTCCGCTCAGTACGTCGACGGTGTGGGTGGACAGTGCAGTCACCAGCAGGGCCCGCTTCTTGTTGTCTTCCGTGATGCCATTTCCCTCAAAGAAGGCTTCCAGCCGAACCTGGTACGCGGGCCACTTGTCGCTTGCCTCGTCGAACTGCGGCGGGCTGGCGTATCCTCCCGTGGGTGCGGCGGTCATGACGGACGGAGTTGCCGCACCGCTTTCATCCCATCCTCGTCGCCACTAAAACGAACACGCCAGGGGCGTGGCTGAGCCAAGACAAAAAGTTTATTGCGATAGCGCGGGTTAATGTAGCGTTGTGCGAGAGGGGTTAAGGGGAAGGGAAGGAGAAGAAGCAGTGGTGATAACGGCGGCTTCGGCTGGCGTGACGTCACGGATACATCAGTAAGTAATATTCCCTAACTGCAACATCGACTTTTCTCGCAACTCGTGGGTGCAATGCAAGTAATTAGTGAGCCAGTAAGAGAGGTTCGTGGTTAAATTTTGGGCCTTTGATGAGTACATAGCGTACATTTTCTGCAACGTGAACATTACCCACCCAGTGAAGCCTTCCCAGGTCGTGCGATCAGGCTTCTTCAGTATGAAACCTCGCGTATGCCTCATCTTCAGGTTCCAGTTTGCCACAGTGATGTGGGCTGCTGAACGCTTGGCATCGCGAAACTTCTTTAGTGCCAGCCACTCTAGGTCCAAACTGAAGCAAATTGCACGAAGCAGATAAAGAAAGCACAACTGCTGCCACAAATTATGAGTTCACATACTTTCGTAACTTGAACAAATGAAGGTGTAACTTCCCCAAAGAGAGCGCTCACTTCTTGTAAAACATGGCCTTTCGGGGAAGTCATACGCCTTCATTTGGTTGTATAGCAAGTACGTAAAGCTTTAAAATTCGAATTGTGGTGGCAGGTGCGCTTATTTTTTTACCTCCCTCATGCAATGTGCTTTAGTTTGAAACTGGAGTGGTTGGTGCTAAAGAAGTTTTGCAATGCCAAGCGTATCATACTTGACCAGAGTGCCTAGTCAGGCATGTTTTATCAGTCGAAACGCGTCATCTCTGAGAATTTACGTGCTGAAAGTGCCCTGATGAACCATTCATCTTCGGTTAAAGAGGCACACCTTTCAACATGATCACTCGTGTGCAAAGCATCCCAGCATGTCTATTAGGTCACGCGTGCTCCTGAGCACACCATGTCGGAGCCCACAACTTGCTCAAGGTATCACGGATTAAGCCTTGCTGTAGATGCACTATACAGAGTCGGTAACATGGCTGTACATATTTCTGCTAAATGTTTCAGATATCTTTCAACGTTGCTAGAAACCTGTGGGAAAGCAGTTGGTAGTACAACTCCAATACGTAAGCAGTAGCACTGCGATGTGAGTTGAATAACCTGTTCGTATTGAAACCAACCTGCGATGCGCAACAGCTCGATCACACATGCTTTTCTTGTATATCAGCCTTTATGTCCAATGCTTTAGAAAGGCATCCCCCGTTACCTAGAATTCTCTCAACCCTGTGCAAGCTTATTCGATCTTATCCGTGCAAATGCCATTTAGCCTTCTGCCTTTCTCAGCTATTTTTTTCATCTTTTCGTTGCCACACAATCTCTGTAACTGGTCACTTGTCTCTCCTCACATTGCTTGACCTTCCCAGGTCCACCTTTTTTTTCTTAATGTCAGCTAGAATATCATCTAGCCCTGTTTGTTGTCTGTCAAGCTCTGCTTTTTTAATATCTATATGTTATGCTAACCATTTTTTGTTTCGATTTTGCATAGGTCTTAGTCGGTTCTGGACTTTTTCTTTTCTTCTTTTTTTTTACTATCAGTCAAGTTTATGCACCACATGTTAGTACTCGCAGCCTACAATAGTTGACCACTTTTCGTTTTAGGGACACTTGTAGATTGCCTTTTATGATTTGGGAATGTCTGCTATTAAAGCTTCAGCCCATTCATATTGTTCGGTGAATTTTTTTTTATGAATAGTGTGTCCTGTGAATATATGGCTTAAATACATATATATTTTAAGGATTCTAGTGTGCCATTGCGAACTCTCGCTTTCTTGTTTGGCCTCCTAACATTAAGTCTTTGTGTTTTACTTATTTATCTGTACTCATACCTGAACACTTTCTCGGTTTATACCCTAAGTTCATTGAAGTTCAATGGCATGACTGCTGAAAAGCAAAATGTCATTTGCAAAGCGTCAGTACCGAGATATTCTTTCTAAATGTTTATTCGTGTTTCTTATCTACATGGTGGCTCAAATATTTCTGCAAAGCATGCTGTCAACAATGCTCAGATTTCGTCACTTTGCCAGATCCACTTCACGAATAAAATTTTTCTACTCTGTGACAGCTCCTCCCCCATAAAGGGACTTTTCTAGTCACCCCTCAAGACCTTAATAAAGTTAATTGTCTGTCTATCTGTCCGTCTGCTGTGTACTCGCTGCAGATGTTGGCTAAGTATTTATGCATGCATTATTCACTAGCTTCTCTAAGACTGCTGGTATCTCTACCAAGTCGAATGCCTTTTATTAGTCTCTGCAACCTAAGTAAATGGACGTATTCTGTTTCGTAGATTTTTCAGTTTGACAGCGTATGACTATGATCCACAGTGGGACATCTTTTGATCTGTGTATAATTCTTCATATCTTTCATCTCTTTTTTCTGTATTTGTTTGGTATTGGCATTTTTACAGTTCGGTTGTACATTTGATTCGCCAGTATGTGATGCATTGTGCAGAAAGTGTCACAAGCTTGTTAAACACGAGATCTCCATCTTTGATCGGGTCAACAATTTCGCTGCACGATTTTTTGTTGGTCATGTTTTGTCGGGCTCTGTTCCATTCTCTCAGGGTAGGGTGTGCAAGGAGATTCGTTCCTGGTTTGGCTTCTGATATTATGTTTCTTTCTAACTTTGTTTATATTTACTCAGGGAGTTTAAGTGTATTGTTGAACTTTGGCTTGTTTCTCTGTTAGGTGGCTTATTCGTGAGCTGCAGTAAAAGTCTTCTGCCACCTTGCTATGGATGTTGAGACTGCTGATTATGTTACCCTCCCTGTTGGAGTGTGCATTCGTAAGTAGTTTTCTGTTGTCATGCTGTGTCTCTTCTTTGAATTCCTCATCTGATTCTTTGGTGTTATAAATCCCCATGTCGGCAATTTTCTTTTTGTTAATCAGCCCTTTTAGCTCAGTTAATTCAACTTTTGATAATGAGTGGGTAGCTTTCGTAGATGGTTGTTTTTTTTCGTTTTTTTTGTGATTTCGGAGAGTTTGCTTACTTCTTGCCCTAGTGCTTTCACCGAACTGCAGTTGCGTTTTAGGAATCAATGTAGGTATGGTTTTTTTCATTTCCTCTGTCATAATTTTTTTTCTTGTTCTAAGGCGTCGCATACGAGTGTTCTAAGGCAGGGCTGAGAAAGCACGTGATAGTGGCTCTGCTCCATTTTAAGAGGAGCCTTGCAAGTTCTCTGCAAGTTATAATAATAATAATAATAATAATAATAATAATAATAATAATAATAATAATAATAATAATAATAATAATAATAATAATAATAATAATAATAATAATAATAATAATAATAATAATAATAATAATAATAATAATAGTAATAATAATAATAATAATAATAATAATAATAATAATAATAATAATAATAATAATAATAATAATAATAATGCCATTTTTGGGTGCCTTAAAGTGGCGTATTCAACTTTGGGGGCTTACTGATGATGATGACTATGGTACTCAGGCATGGGAAGAGATCCTTTGTTTTCGTCAAACATTTAAAATGAAAGATTAAAAACGAAAACGTATTGTCAGGGGCTAAGTAGATGCCAGAGGATGACGACGACGAAGGGCTGTGGGGAACGTGCTCGGACTGCAGCAGCGTTGTACGCATTAGCTCGCCAGTATATTCATTGTGTTTACTTTATTCCCCGTAACATCACTGGTGGAAGGTGCGGGGTACAACTCGATATACAGCCCCACGAGCTGGATCGTCGCAGCAGACGGCGCATTGCAGCTACCACGATGACTGACCAGGCTACTCAATGTCAACAAGATCCGTCAGCCCCACAACCAATCGTTGTGGTGCAACCTCGTGACCCAGGCCCATTTAACGGCACAAGTGGCATAGACGTCGATGACTGGCTGGTTCTATATGAGTGCGTCAGCAGCAGCAACCATTGGGATCCGACGCTTATGTTGGCGAACATCATCTTCTACTTGCATGACCCGGCAAAACTCTGGTACGAGACACATCAAGAAGAGTTAACCAGCTTGGACGTCTGTAAGCAGAACTTGCGCTATATATTTGGGAAACCCATGGGACGTCAAGTGGCCGCAAAGAAAGAGCTTGCGACTTGTGCCCAGACATCCAGAGAGCCGTACATCGCGTACATCCAGGACGTGTTGGCTTTGTGCCGCAAGGTCGACAAGGACATGCTCGACGAGGACAAAGTTGGACACATCCTGAAAGAATTGCCGATGACGCCTCCAATTTTCCGCTGTGCAAAGACTGCTCGACGGTCGAGTCCGTCATCGAAGCATGTCGTCGCTTCGAACAAGCGAAAAGTAGGCGCATAGTTCACCGATTTGACCGCCTACCCAACACGGCGGCTACGTCCTCTTGCGAAGATTTGCCCACACTACATCAACCACCAGCGCCGAAAACGTCACCAGAATAATCCGTCGGGAACTCGAGGCTATGGCACCCGCTATGTCTAGTGTCAGCGCGCCAGGACGCAACCTCGATGCTGTTTCAGTGATACAGGCCGTGGTTCGCGAAGAGATCGCGAATATGGGCATTTCGCCACCTCATCGAAATGCCCCTGCTACTTCCAGCTCGGTTCCAGTCGTTGCGGCTGCCACTCCGAACCGCACGTTTGCGCCAAGGCGAAACCCAGCTGAATGGCGCACTCATGATGATCGGCCCATATGTTTCACGTGCCATCGGATAGGACACATCGCT